TTCACTCTTCTCAAGAGGTGAAATTCCACTGAAATCTCGCGACTGACACCATCAGTCTAGAGAAGCCATCGATACGTGTCAAAAATTGTTCGACAGCGTCAGCGTGGATCTTATCTGTGGCAGACACCAGCAGAAGCCTTCTCAGTGGAGAGAAGAATTGAGACAAGTGTTGGATCTCCACTGTGACCACCTATCCATCTACAACTTGACGATCGAAAAAGGCACAAAATACGATCGAATGAAGCAAGAAGGAAAACGTGAGCCATCGTGCATGATGCATCACGACTGATCGTCAAGTCTCATTACCCGACGAAAATGAGTCACTCGAGATGTATAGAGACAGCCGCAGTATCTGCCAAGAGTTTGGACTGAAGCAGTACGAGGTCAGCAGTTACGGCCGCGACGGACACCGATCCAAGTGATGATATCAGTCGTGATATCTCTGACGGTAAAGGCACAACTTGCACTATTGGAAGGGAGGGAGTTACATTGGAATTGGACCGGGAGCGTGTGGTAGATGGATCGACACAAGTGGAGAAGTCTACGAGATGAAACAAGTGAGACACCTTCACGATCATCATCCATCGCATGTCGTCATCATCATGATCATCATTCTTCGCTGTGTCGTGATGGTGACCCGTGATCACGAGTCATCGTCATCATCATCAAAAGTCTTCACGAGCTGTCTATCTCCATCTTACCATTCCAACGATACAAACGATCTCAAACAACAACAGATGAAACATCCAACCCAATGGATGAAGTCAGTCGAGTCCATTGGACACGGAACACAAGACAGAATTCGATTAGAACCTTCCGAAATCATACAAGAATACATTCTATTCAACATGAGAAAAGTGATTTAAATCCGTCTACAACGAGACGAAAGACTGACGACGAGAAGGTGGAGGGAATCAAGAGGAGAGAGTTTGAAGAGAGATTTAAGAGGGAATTGAAAGACGTCTTTGGTGTGATGACAGAGGCCATGAGGGAAGAAGGTGAGGGAGAGGATAGAAGAGGAACTGAAAGGGGGTAGGACTTATCGTTGTGGATGAAGAAGGTGTGAGGGCGACAGATAGAGGGAGGGAAGTGTTGGATGCCATCATGGACAGGATAAAGATCTCATGATGAGATCGTTCTGTATCCGTACAATTTATTTCATTTTATTGTTTCGGGCAGACTCAATTGTGATAAATAAAATAGATTCAATTGAATTTTGGGACTGTCATCATGTGCATCACCAAGAGACGAGACAGCCCTTTACTCTCTTCTTTCCACTCGATAGAGGACCGTTTTTCGTTGGCGTGTGTGACGTTACATCGTAGACGAATGCACTCATGCCACTCCAGCCACTCTCGGGGTTCTCGTAGCAGATGGCCATTCGACCTTGTGTGTCTATATCGATGCCGGTGATGCCTGATCCGTATTGCGAATGGGAGTGAAGATAGAAGGGTTGGTCTGATCTATAAAAGAGAGTCAGAGACTTGAGTGAGAATGATGACGATGTCATACTTCAGATCATGGAAAGTGATATGTCCATAGACATCTGCATAAGTGACGGTCTCCAGCCGTTCCCAATAATTCATACATTTGATCCCATCTGAAACATCCATCAGTAGATGCCACCGTCGAATTTTACCCCTAGAATCGATAACGGCCTTCACATCGTTGTCCATCTTCCTCACATCTCGAACGAAAATTTTACTGCGATTCGCTGCAATGAACTGCATCACGTTCAAGATGAGATCGTCTGTGTTACTCGCGATCACCTCACGATCTGATCTCCAGGAGACATCACAAACGGGTGCTTGATGTTCCGTGTTCGTTCGATCTGAGAAGGTGGGACTCTTTAGATGTCCATCGGGCTGTCGGCTGTCGAAGAGGAAACAATTTACAGAGCCCCGAGAACACATTGTGTCGGCTGGAATCACATCAGATCGGATCATGATGACTGATGGACATCACATCAGAAGGATACTGGGAGACTGCTCCCAATGATTCAGAAGAGGTCAAGGACTTCGACTGTGAGACTCTTTCGTTGGACACGTCGATGAGATTGATGGTTCCGCTGGCCGATGTCGCCCAGACATGATCGAGGGACCTCCAATCTAGTCCTAGAGAACCTTTCTGATATTCATAGCCTGATCCGGTGTATTCACCCTTCGATACTGAGAAGGTCAGTTGAGATCGATGGTGAGACGGTGTGATGGTCCATCAGATGATTGAGATCGGTAGACTGGAAATGCAACATGCTTTCGAAAAATCAGCATAGTGATAGAACTACCGGATGTTGAGCGATCGAATCGATCGTCACCATTCACTCTGATCTTGTCATCGCCGCAAGCGGCTGCGATAGTGTTTCCTTCATTGTTCTTTCTCAACTTGTTCACGGCTGCACCTGACTTGATCTCTTTTTTCCTCCTCTCTTTCAACGTGCGGAAGTCCGCAGGGTTAAGAATGGACCGCTTAATGGCTCATCCGCTAAGAACATCAGAAACGGCGTCAACATATCGGCTCACTCAGAGAGTATTCCATGATGCCTCTAAGGACAGTTGAAGAGAATTTGTTGCGAGCTCCACATAAGATGGTGTTCTCATTCGTCCACAACACACACTTGTATTCAGGGCTCTTGAACATCTCAGCCACATTCTTTTTGGCTGTTGTGCGAAAGGTAAATGGATGATTTCGAACAACATCACTCCTCACCTGAAGTATCCAACAAGATCCCGTATTGAGATGCAGTATCAAAGAGACTATCCATGACTTCCCACTCCCCAAAATGTCCATCATCCGCGATCGTGTAACGTCCATTCGCTGAATTGTCGTTGTAATACCCCACTTTCCCAAGTCATCGACACACACGTACACGTATTCTTTAATCCTCCTCAGATTCGTCCTGCTCTTCATCCTCTGAACCCTCTTGTTCTTCACTCTCCAATTTTGTCCTCTGTTCTATCTCTTCCTCCTCTTGTACGGAAGGGTCCACACACTCTTGAGGTTGTTTTGCTTCCTTCTGAATGGAAGAGGGTAGCTCCGGGGAGAATGGCTTGTCGCTGTATTTGAGACCGAAACCGATATAGAGGTTGGCGAAACGGTCGTCCTTGGCAAATGCATGAGCTCCAGGCCACCGATTAGATCTGAGAATGACGTGGGCGAATTTAGACGTGATGGTCGATGAGAGTTTGGCGGTCCATGCGTCGTGTCGGCCGATCTGGTTGTCCTCACTGAGATCGGTGAGAAGTCTGGGGCCCATCTCGATCTCTTCTTCGTTCTCATCGTCTTCATCTTCGTTGGCGTTGGCTGTCTCATCATCAGATCCGGCGTCTCACAAAACAATCATAGATCACCTTGAGAAGGTCTGAAGAAGGTGCATCTTCCTTGGTTAAGAATGAAAGGGTAGTGATGCACCCAGTTGTTCATTCGGAGGAGATCGGCGGGGTCCAAACCTTCGAATTCGTGGTTGACTTGGATCTGTGGTACTTCTAACGCATCGACCTCTTCTTCTTCCAAGTTGTAGTAACCTCTCGGACTGATCACGGTGGCGGCAGTGATGCGAGCGATGACGGCACGGAGGAGGTTGGCCTCGTTGCCGGGAAAGTGAGGAAACTTGTCTACGCTAGAGGTGAGGTCACCCGTGAAAAATCTTCTGATCTTTCTGGACGCCACGACCTGAGCGGGTGTAACGTCTGGAAGCAATTCCCATCCCTCCTCAGCTGTCTATGTCAGGTTTCCCGCGCTCACGATCATGACGATGGACTCACCTGACTGAACCCAGTAAGAGAAACGATTCGTACCACTTCTCTGCTCTGATTCGATCTCGAGGTTGGTTGTCTGAGCGGGCGTCTCCTTCTCAGCGTTCTCGGTTTCACTTTCGCTGTCTTCGTGTTTGACCTCGTTCTCTTTCGGCTCTTCCTCTTTGGTCGCAGCACCTTCACCTTCCTTGAACTCGCTCTCGACGATGATGTAATCTCTCTTTCTACCGTAGATCTGATGCAATGATTGAGACACACAGATCGATGTTGATAGCCACCTTTCCAAACAAACGGACGTTCTTCAGAGGATTCGATTCAAGGAGACGCTTCATGGACAGCTGCAGTCGAACCGTCTCTTCTCTACCAAGGCCGACACCTCCCCATTCGAACATGGATGATTCTTCGAGCAAGTCCGGAAAGTCTCCCTCGTTAGGTAAAATGGTCGTGTCTTCACCCTCTAGCAGTTCCAAGGACTAGTGATCGTGTCAGAAGATGTAACAGGACAGCACTCGTCGGCACACCTTGAACAGATTGCTTCGTGTATTGGCGAGTTTGAGGTCTAACGTCTCCTCTTCGATGTGCTGCATGAGATCAGAATTGCTCACTCGATTTGAAAGAAATCTCACCTGCAGACCAGACAGCTCTTCCTTTGGAGCGAGTTTAGACGCTTTGACATCACTCGACAAAACCTCGAATTTCGAATAGGCATCGTCCGACTGTTGCTCTAAGACACGAAGGATGATGTCGGTGAGATGGTCGTAGACGTTGTTACCGTTGCTGTCTGACTTCATCAGAGCGGCTTTCGCGTCATCGATGGTGGAGGGCAGGGAGATGTTAACGATGGGTGGCCTGAGGCCTCCCGATTTATCGACTGTTTCCATCTGAACCATGGTGGCTGATGTGTGTGAAGTTGAATTCAGACGGCAGTAGACCAAAATCTAAATATAGTCTCATGATTTTTTAAAAAGAAAAGAAAGATGGCTTCGTTGTAGATGATCAATATATTAGCCCAAATGTAACGGAAACTTGTTCTGATTGATGCCTTTGTGAAGCTTGGAGATAGAGGCCCAATATCTATTCTATCAACATAGCATTGGAGTACATACGGTCAAATAGACGAAGAGATGAGAAGTATGTCTTACGACTGGAGTTTTCAATGCACATCAGATCTTATGAAAGTTTCGATCTCATCAGTCCCCTTGCGCTGGTCAGACATACGCATCTCATCACCTTCGAAATTGCATGTATGCCGCAATAGCTCAGTTGGGAGAGCGTTAGACTGAAGATCTAAAGGTCACGTGTTCGATCCACGTTTGTGGCATCTTTTTACATCACCACCATGCTGTTCTTTTTGAAGGTTGATCTAGCTCTCACAGTTGGCCGCCAGCCTCTAAGGTGAACACACCCATCGCTACCATGATTGACTCATCTGTTGTCTTCATCTGAAAAAATTGCGCTTTCATTTCAGTTATTTTATTCCGACTCGCAGATCCATCATCATCGATGGGAAACGAGCAGAGCACACCTGCACAAGGTGGATCGAGTATAGGCGGATTCCACGTCCTTCAGGTGCAAGATGGAAGCCCTGGAGCAGCCGCAGGTCTCGAATCGTATTTCGACTTCATCACAGGAGCCAACGGAAAGGCTTATGTAAGTAGACGAGCTCTGTCATGATCTAAACGTGCGTCGTTGATTCAGATTGAATGATGGCAATACAGGAAAGAGAAGACCCTTCGTTTGTGGAGACGTTGAGACAAAACATACACAAACCCGTCGATCTCACAGTATACAACAGTAAGAACGACACCATTCGCAGTGAGTCCATTTGCAACGTCATCCCTCTAACATATCATCACAAAATGGTCGCCCGACACTCATTCGATTCGACTCAGATGTGACCCTCGTTCCAAACGACACGTGGGGTGGCAGCGGTCTCGCCGGCATCAGCATACGATACTGCACAGTTGAAGTTGCCACCGAATTCGTGTGGCACGTTCTAGAGGTGATTCCGTCTCATCCATCACCTGCCATCATGATGTTGACCTCTATCAGGTCCACGATAAATCTCCCGCGTCGAAGGCGGGGCTCGTGGCCAACACAGATTACATCGTCGGCACACCCGATCAGCAGTTCAACAATTCGGAAGATTTTTACACTCTCATCCAGAACAACGAAGAGAAGTCCATCGTCCTCTACGTCTACTCGACTCAACAGGAGAGGATGAGACAGGTACGTCCATGCGAGAAGCATCCGATGATGATCATCATGTCACCTCTCACCACCGATGATGATGCTGAGTGTCAACAGGTACAGATTACCCCCAATTCAGACTGGGGAGGTGAAGGCAGCATGGGCTGCGACGTCGGTTTCGGTCTCTTACATCGAATTCCCGTTCACACCACCAGCACCGGCATCCAGCGGAGGAATTACAATTCGACGGTGAGCACAATGGCAGACGAGAGAAAAAACTGAATCGTAGGGCAGTCAGTCCTGGTACCCGAGTACCCGGCCATCATGCAGTCTCTTCCAAACAAGCCCGAAGCTTCCAATTCTGCACCGGGAACGCCCAGCCCCGTCGAAAACGGTCCCGCCGTGTTGCCCGTACAAGCCGTAGAGCCCGCAGAAGTTTTGGCGGGAACGGCCTCTCCCCCCCTGTCTTCACCCCCGCTGGCATCACCCCCCGTGATGTCATCTCCGACGCAACTTGCGTCTCCAGTCTTGCAAAAACAGGCCACACCAAAGAGAGATACACCTGCACCCCTTCACTCACCGTTTGCAAAGAAAGAAGAAGAGAAGACGGAGGATCGAATTGTATCGGAGGAGGAAGCAGTGGCCGCTGTGACACAATCACTGGAAGAGGTTGAACTGTAGGATATAAAGTGTTCTGATGGAGATCTCTCTGTCTTCTCTTTTGGATACGTTGATGGATGATGAAGTTGACGCATCACGATGACAAATCACACGGTGTGATCTACATTCATGTGAGATACGCGATGAGCATGATTTAGGACCACACGATGACTTTACTCAGACGAAAACAAATGCTGGAGTTTTCGCTCCTTCGTCTGACGTTCTTCGTGTCGCGACACGAACGGACACAAAATATCCTCCTTTGAAAGGTCACCTCTAAGTCCTTCACTGCCACAATGACTGCTGTATTGACTCCCGAACGACAGCGCATAGAACTCCACTCGGACGATTCGATAAGGGCACCACCGAACCCTCTATCGACTCTTCCGCAGGCTCATGCTTCCATCTGTTCATTTTTCAGCCGACCAACATCTTTCACATGAAGTCAGTCGCCATTCTTCTCGCCTTGTTGGCTTTGGCTTATGCCGTCACCCCCGCCGTGCAGGAGGTCGCTAAGCGTGATGGTGGTGTCATCACTTACTACAACTGCGAGAGTGGACAGCAGGGATCTTGCGGTGACTGGCTCAGCAACAACGACTACGTCGCTGCCGTCGTGAGTCTCCCTCTCTTTATCATCACAACACATTGGACATCGGCAATGACAACATTCTGATTTGTCTAAAGGGAAACGCCATGTGGAACTCTGGACAAGTCTGGTGTGGAAGACAAGTGACCATCCAAGGACCAAGAGGAACCATCACCGTCACCATTAAGGACAGCTGCGGAGACGCTTGCGAATGGGGACACTTCGATCTGTGCCAGAATGCCTTCGCCCAGGTCGCTAACCTCGACGACGGTTACGTCGGTATCAACTGGTGGTTCTCCTAAGTCACCACTCACATAGACACCGAACATGTTGAATAGACAATAGTGTAACATCATTGCATCTTCGATTCACACGTCTTTATCGTTCAAAGACGTTCGACACATCTAATGCACCGCTCTGACTCGTTTCCTCTTTAAACTTGATCATTCCTTCCATATTTCGACACGTACTGCCATCATCAGCCACCTCTATACTTCCAGCATCATCTTCACCTCTTTCGTATCAGCCAAAGTCGTATACTCGTAACCTCTCGGGTTGTTTTCCTCCCAAAGAGGTCTCATCATCTGTCTCTGTCTGCGGTTGTGCTCGACAAACGATTGAACCATGAAGAGGTGTCGCTTGAACATGTCGTTGCTGGCCAGAACAGCTGGAGCGTAAGCAGCTGTCTCCTGCAAAACTCTCGAAGCAGTGGCTTCTAAGATATGCGGCTCTTGAAGATGAGACGATGATGGTTCGTATCGATTTAGAGGAGGCGCATGACGGTGTTGTTGATCCGAGAGATTCGAAGTCTCTCGATTGGACGTGGAGGTTGACGTGAAGTGAGCGAGCTCATCTGAAGAAGCGTTAGACTCATGCAACGATGGAACGTTACCTAATGAGAGTGGAGCCACGAGGCCACGAGGGGAAACCTGAACGTAACTCTCTTCTCTCTTCTCCATCGTAGAAGTGGGTCTATAGTGTGATGATGAGGGAGCCGATCGATCAATGTGGAATGAAGATGATGGATGATGCTGATACGGCACTTCCATCGATGACCTCATCGCCTCAGTATGTCTTCCACTCTCTACAAATCGTAACAGAGGAGAAGGCATCAGACTGGGCATCGACGTCAATTGCCGCGGCACCGCCGCGATACCTGCTGACGTCACCCAGTTGCAGTGACATCATCCCCTCACTCTTTATGGAGCCTATGGCCAAGCTGAGCGATGCAGACTGGGCCTCTCTCAATTGTGCGAGTTGTAGTTCGATCCGTTTGATGCCCTCGGTGAGAGAATCGACGTTGCTACGGTAACCGTCCAGGTCTTTGGACCGCTGGTTCATCTCTTCGTTTAGATCTCTGTTGGAGAGAAAGGGAAGAGAAGTCAAGCCTGGTTGGATTAGGAGGGACGCGATGAAGATGGAAGATGATGTCGCACTCGATGATGTGGAGTAGGACGAGTCTGTCGTGAGGGAGTTGTCTGAATCGAATGACTCTTGGAGTCTGTCTCTCCTCGGTGTCTTCTCTTTCTCTCCTCTCTTCTGTATCTTCTCTTTCTCTCCTCTCTCCTCTTCTCTCTTTTCTCGTCTCTCTTCTTTTTCCTTCTTTTGTACCTTCTGTACCTTCTTCTCTTCTCTTCCTCTCTCCTTGTTCTCCTTTCCTTTGCCAATCTGTTTCTTCTCCTCTTTTAACGGTGTGGACTGGATAGGCTTTGGAGTGACACCCTTCTTGACGTTCACGATAGGTTTTGAAGGTGTGACGTGTTTTGAGGGTGTGATGGGTTTAGGTGGGACCTTTGTCGGTGTCTTTTTCGGTGTCGCCTTCTTCTGTGGCTTCTTTGGTGAAGGCTCTTCATCGATCGATTCCTGACGGACGTCATCAGCTCACATCGACATGATGTTGTGATGGTCACCTCTTCGAAATCGTCAGAAACATCTACTTCTTCTTCTTCAAACTCTTCTTCGTACTCTTCCGACACCTCTCCATTCGATTCCGAACCTTCCACAGACTCTTCTTCGTATCCCTCCTCTACAGGCTCTTCAGACTCTTCAGAAGAATCTTCCTCTTCTGCAATGGACTTTTCCTCGATTGACTGAGAGGATGTGAATCACGTGTGACATCATTGTCTCCACCTCTTCTTGGACGGATTCTTCTTCAAAGTTTTCCTCCACAGCTTCTGTGTAGTGTCAGGTGTGAAAGGGGATGGTGCATCGTGTCGAGATGAATGATGTACGACCTTCACTCTCTTCGCCCTCCTCCTCTACTTCTTTACTGTCTTCCTCCTCTTGGCTCTCCTCTTCTTCTTCCTCTTCTTCACTCTCTTCTTCTTCACTCTCTTCTTCTTCGCTCTCTTCTTCTTCACTTTCCTCTTCTTCACTCTCTTCCTCCGTCTCTTCTTCACTGCTCTCCCTCTCCTCCTTCTTCACCGCCCGGCTGCTCTTCACCTCCCTCACCAACTCTCTCAGGACTTCCTCTATCTCTATCCTCTTCTTCTTCTCTTCCTCTAGCTCTTCCATCCTCTTCTTTTCCTTCTCCTTCCTTCTCCTTCTCCTCTTCTCTCGTCTCTCGTGTCTCCTCCTCCTCTTCCTCTCTCTTCTCATCTTTTCTTCTCTATCGCGCTCGTGTCTCTTGTCTTCGTCTACCTCTCTCACCACCTCTTTGATGGCGTCATCACACATTATAATTCGTCATGATGACGTCACACCTCTTCTAGGGTATAAGAAGTAGCCGCCCGAGTAGGAGAAGGGTTGAGGAGCCTCGGGGTGGGTGGAGAGTGTAGCGAGGGGATCGTCGGTCATAGTACCGGTGGTGCAGGATGTCTTTGTCAGCTCGGGTGGAAGTGTGTCGTTTCTCTCTCTCTGTGTCGCCTCTCCTACTTGGTGTTATG